ACACACACACACACAAAAGCACGGAACACACACCTGTGTTTATTATCTCGCTTGATATGTGGACTACACAACAGTACAGTGTGTGCATCTTTCAATGTGTCACTCATGATTCTTTACCTATGAACCAAAGTGACCAAAAGTGCCTTGCCAATTGCAAGAGCCATGGGTATCAATGTGAAGAATTACTTTTGAGTTTTATTCCTCAGAAGCAGTTTGTGGATTTACTATTTACTGCTACATAAACTGAGGTTCTACCAACTTCACATAATATCTCTGACATTAAAATGTTATTGCCCACCTGAACTGCCTTCAAGAATATTAAGCACTACCTTTTCTCTGTGAGACAGACTAAAACATTTTAAACTAAAAGGAACAAAGCTTTCATTAAATAGTTCAGTGTGTGCTCACAGCCCTGGTATTGAACTCAAAATGGGGTGTGACTGACTTGGCACTGCTGTGTTACCTACTCCAGTATTTACTAGTACAACATGGAATAGAAGTGTATGTCAGTGTTGCACAATGCACAATTTTATTTCCTTGGTGTAAGGTTTCTTCTTGTTAAAACCACTCCCCGTTGTTATACCACACTCATCACACCATCCTCGGTATAAGTTTTTTTTAATTGGGTAAGAAGAGTGTCAGAGTGTGGGTGAGTAACACATTTTGCATGGGGCACTCTCCCTTTGGGTGTCACCTGATAGAGCTCCAGTCTGATGTGCAGTTAGTTTGTACAGCAAGAAGTTTCAATATGTTTTGTGTGAATGCATTAGTAAAGTAAATCATTGCAAGGTTGTGACTGGATTACCATATGAAAACAGGTCCACTGTACTCCCTCATATATTTATTTATTATTTTATAAATATAAATAAATTGGCCAGGCATATGTCGGCTCATAATCTATCTCATCTATCAGTACAGGAGTGCCACAGACATGTTTAAGGTAATTTTGATTGTTCATCAGAGAGCACAGGTTTAAGTGTAAGGGCGCCAGGTTAGCTCAGTCGGTTAGAGCCGGCGACCATATACGCAGCCGGCCCCGGGTTCGCTCCGACTGGGTGGCCCTTTGCGCATTGTCGTCCCCTCTCTCTCTGCCCCCCTTTCCTGTCTCTCTCCAGCTGTCCCTGTCAAAATAAAGGCATAGAAAAGGCCAAAAAAATACTTTAAGTAAGTGTAAAATGTGCCAGTACATATTTTCAAAAGTGTTGTAAAAATGAATATTGGCCAGTATCATAGTGGACCATAGTGTAAAGCTAAAATGGGTTATGAGCCAGTGTATGAACATGGTCTGTTTTAATTGATTAGGGTCCATGGACAAAACTACAGTTACATGCATTTTATATGAAATGATTTATAAACAACAAAAGATTTACAGAGATTCCTAATGATTTTACAATATTACAAATATAATTTAAAAAATACTATAAATTATAGAGGCTGTGCTGTATGACATATTTAAAGCTTCAATGCAAGCAATGTCACAGATAAGAAACATATATTGTTATTATCTTGAGATGCATAGTTCACTCCTAATAACTATGTACTAATGTGTTTATTGGTCTGCATTTGTGTCTGTGACGAGACCTGTGGATGTGATAGTCGGTGCTGCTGCTGGTATTCACTCTACTGTACGTATCTCCGTTCAGTTACGCTTGTTTGTGTGCCTGCAGGTTGACAAAAGCCCAGAGGGCCAGTTTATTCAGCTGATGGCGTTGCCTCGGACCCTGCAGCAAAAGATCACAAAGCTGGTCGATCCTCCAGGCAAAAACCGAGACGTGGAGGAGATCCTGCTGCAGGTTGCTCAGGACCCAGACTGTGGAGCTGTTGTGCAGCAAGGTTCGGACTAAAGAATGAGTGGAAGGATGTAGAATAGAGGAAAAGACTAGACTACTGTAGAGTAGGCTCTCTGGAGATGTTGCATGATGACGGGAAGGCAGACACAAACAGAGATGGATGGAGGGAGGGATGGTAAGAGAGAGAGGAAGGCAGAGAAAGAGAGAGAGAGAGAGAGATGGATGGATGGAAAAAATTCTTATTCCCAAATGTTTCATTAAAATCGACTCCTCTGAGATATAGTGCATGTACAGATCAGGACCTTTTTATCGTGTGATGAATATTAATATAAGTTTACAAATGAATAATGTGAGGAATCCAATGTAATGCCCAGATAATCTACAATAAATAAACAAGTAGTAAATCAAATGAACAACATCTTGTAATTTTCAAATTCTTAGGCCAATAAATGTAATTTTTAATTGCTGGAACACAATGCTGAAAATATTTGTCCTCATGCTGTCTGAGATACAGTATCACATTTGAATAAACACATTTAAGTTATCTGAAACACTCTTTTAAGGACAGTTTAAGTGTATAGCAGTTTAATGTCACGTTGAAGGAGCAAATAATAAATAATTATTTCACCCACTGATTTTTAATAATATAATAATAATTGTTGTATATTTGCTTGTTTTTTTTATTTTTTTTATCTTCCACAGGTATTTCATCTATTGTGAAAACTTCCAGTATAACACAGAGTATCAAAGGCATTGCTACAGCTGGTAGGTACTCTTGTATTAACAACGTGTTTTTTTTATATATGAACTAATATAGAAATGGTGGTCGTCTAATGTGGTTGTTAAAGTTCAGTGCTCTGTGTCTCCTGGTCCTCCCCAGGCTTGTGGAAGACAGTGTCGTACAGCTCCAAAAAACTGATGAAGATGTGGAAGGGTTGGAGGAGGAAACCCTCCGTCTCACAGACATCCTGATCCTGTCTGTCTACCAGGAACCTGTCTTACTCTAGAACTGTCAGCCAGACAATCTACGTTCATCCTTTTGGTTTTAGCCTGAAACTAACTGTGGCTGGAACAATCACACACTGACCTCTGGTTGTGTCACCGTGGAGCCTCTATCCCTTACGAGGTGTTAGTCTGTGTTTGAATAGTTTAGAGCTGTCTGTACAACTGCCCTTTATCGTGCAGTTCATAAAAGTTGTATAAAAGATGGTGACATTTCACAAGCCTGACTGAATTATGGCTGACATTTAATGGTACTACAGATCGGACCTTTTCTGGATAATGACTACAGTGTTACTACAGTGTCTAGCGAGGAACTGCTGAATTCAGCTATGTCTTGAGCCAATGGCGTGTGGTGCACAGAATGTAACCAGGACTGCAAGATATAATGAAGAAAATATTTTGAATTCTCTTTATACATGGACACACACACACACACACACACACACACACACACACACACACACTTCTCATCCCCCTCCTAGATTGCCAAAAAAACTCAAATCTTTCATTTCACCCTTTAACCACATTTTTAATGTTTGTGCTATATGTATGTTGCTCATTGTTACCAGATGTTTACGTCTCTGCCACCTTATTGTTATGAGCTTGTCATATTGACAACTGGAGGTCTTCAATGGGAATAGGCATTGATTTGTTCTTCACAAATACTTGCTTTAGTCGAATTCAGTGACAAGGTTTAATAAACGTTTTAATACAACAGCATCTGTGCTTACTCTGTTTTCAGTAGTATTTTTCTTTTCTTTTTTTTACTGTAACTCATCTAAATAAGAACATATAAAATGAGTCCATAATGTAAGAAAATCATAAGAAAAGTTTCTCATAATATGCTTTAAGTCTTATATTTTTAAATCTTTTTAGGTAAGAAAGGTAAATATGAAATGCTTCAAAAAAACATGTTCATTGCTTTATCTCTGCTCTATCTCTTCATCTCCCTGAGCCTAGGAGTAATTAATATTTACTTCTTTCTGCATTTCACTTAATTGGATAATTGGACACCAAAATTATTACAATTACTATTTTTCAATTAATCATTTTATATTATATGTAACTGAATACATATTAGCCATGTACAATAAACAAGTGCAAAACAAACAGACCAAAAACAAATGTCTAAATTAACATTTTATATGCAGAATTCTGCTACTACAAATAAGATCATATAATCATAATTTTTGCTTTTATTTTCCCTCTCATAATGAAAAATATCAAAGACAACAACAAAAATAACGTAACTGCTGTGATAAACATCTACTGGTCCTCCGTTCCATCATAGTGCAGACAGTGGTGACAGTACCACTTACTTCCAGTTATTGCCTGGTACTGTCACTTGCTTTATTTATCCACCCTTTTATTCCCCACTACATCATGAGTCATGCTTTTAGGATGACTTCAGTTATGGGCACATGAATCACCTCAAAGTAGGCTCACATTACCTCGCATGATTTGCTGTGTGCTCTTCTTTTTCACTGGAATCTACCAGCATTTACTGATATTTTGTCTATGACTATAATACATGTACATTGGGACAGTTTGCTGACTACACATAACCCTTTGGCACTGTTCAGGTCCACATTTTCTCTAAATAGCTGTTAAATACAATTTTGAGGTACATTTACTTCCGTTTTATGCATTACACTTCTACTCCACTACATTTCGGAGGGAAATATTGTATGTTTTACTCCACTACATTATCTGACAGCTTTAAGACTGGTTACTTTGCAGACTCAGACTTTATGTACAAAACAGAGATCTTGTAAAATATTATATGTTGGTGTACGTTATATAACTGTATCTAACATAGCAAACTTACTAAACCAGGTACAACATAAAGTACTGTATACACAGTGGTACATCACTAATAACAAATCCCATTTAAGACAGTTAATAATGCTATTATAGGCAGTCGGTCTTCAACTGGATTGTTATTAATGTATAAATGTTTAATACATAGTTATATACTAGCTATGCATTAAATCTGTGATGTAATGTAGCAGATATAACTAATAAATAATTTAAAATATAAAAAAACACTGAAATTACTTTGTAGCTGCATACAACTTCATACAACTTCATTATAGTGTGTTATTAACAGTGGCAGAGCTGGAGAAATATTCATGGGGTGGCCAGAGGGTGACAGAAATATATCCTGATTTAGAGACAATCACATATATCAATAATTGCTTGGAAAAGCCCCCCAAATGAAGATATTTGAACTCAAAAATATTTCATTATTGTGGCACATTAGTGAAGCATTGAATAAATAATATCTACAGGTGGCATTAAAAATCAATAACTATTATTTTATTTCCAAAAAAAAGTATCTTAAGCCTATCAATTAGTCTAAAATGTAGCTATAACAGATAATTAAATGAATTTCAGTTATTTTTGACATTAATCTGAATTCATGTGTTAAATTTGACACCAAACTGGGGTGGCCAGGTATTTGTTAGATCTTGCCCTTGTTATTACCCATTTATTAAATATTTACGGTGCTTATAAATACTAATCATGAGGACTTACAGTTAAGTGTTACCACATTGGGCTTAAGTGTAAGTGTTTATAATGCAGGCTGTATCTCAATATGGAGCACAGGAAGAGAGTAACAGTTTATGTGGGAATTTAAAATAAATGAAGAACTGACAAGTTGAGGGTTAACTGCCTTGCTCAAAGGCTCTTTAAAGTAGTAGTGCTGTATAATCATCTTGTAAATGTTTTTCATTCCCACCTCCCTGACTCTCTGAGCATCAGACACAGTGACAGCAGCCTAACCTTCAGATGTGATGCAATGCTCTTATTATCATAATATATGCTGATATCACTGCTTCACTCCTCCGCCAATCAGCGCACTTCACTTTCACCACCTGCTAGGAACTGAATTCCATCATTCCAGGCATTGTTCCTCCCTCCCTCCTCCCTCCCTCCTCCTCCTCTTCCTCGTTTAGCCTACAACCAAGTTTGTCCCGACAGCTCTGCTACTATTGTCTTCCCTCGTACAAGGACCGCGGCTTTTTGTTTTTGAACCTCCTGTGGGATATATATAGATATATATATTTGTTTGCTGTGTTTTTATTTATTTCCCCGTGTGGATATTATCATACTGGAAGATACCAAAGTGGCGCTTGAAGGAGGTATGTTGCTGCTGGAACATGAAGTTGCGTCTGACTGACATTGTTTGTTTCGGGTTTAGTGCGCTCTTTTTAAATTTGTTTTGTTTGAGTCCTGTGGCGTTAATTCAGTCCGTTGAATGTGAATGTTCGGCATTTAAATGAGGACAGCGCGGGGAGAACAGATTGAAGAAGACAGGGCTGGAATAATATCCGTATGTGGAGGGGAAGTTTCATTCACGATAAGAAGCAATCGGCACTGGCGGGTTCCCAAAACTTCCTCATGTCAAGAAAGCCCCTTTGGCCATATGCTTTCCTCCAGGGATCTGGTGACATGCAGTTGTCTGTGTGTTGTGCTGTGAGTGCAGTGGGAATGAGTGAAACCTGACCACTAAATAAAGTAGCGATACATTTCTCTTATAGTGCCAGCTTCAAGTTAAACAGAGCCACAATGTGCCTTTTTTCCTCCTTGCTGGACATCTCTTAATAAGGTCCCGATAAGGAGGCACTGAGTCAGGCTGATATAAATAAAGGGCTGGTGGGAATAAAAGCGGACGCACTTGCTGCTAATATAATCAGTTTCACTTTTGCCCGAGTCCTATCGAAAGTTTCTTTACGCGCACCACGTTGACAGTGCTGTGTTGTGACGAGCTGCAGGACAACAAACTGTTGGTGCAGTTTACTCTGGAGCTGCAGGGATAGTTTTTTTGTTTAATGATAATTTGCCCCAGAAACGCTGTTTCTCCTGGAGAAATGAAGGAAAAGTATCTTAGGAATGCAGAAAGAGGGAAGAGAAGCGCGCTGAAGCGTTTTTTATTCACAAATACCTTTCATAGCAGCTAGAGACTGAAGGGCTCGACACTGTGGGATAAAACGCCCCCCTCCCCTAAAAAAAAAAAAAATGCTCAGAGTTCAAAATATTTTAGGAAGGTCATGAGAGTATGAAAAGGACAGTTTGAAACAATACAAGTAAAAGTCCTGTATTTAAATGTAAAACTTGACTTAAGTAAAAGTATATAAGTATTTCAAGTGTAAAGTGTAGTATCAAAAGCAGCCATACTAAATTCCTCATAAAGAGTATTATAATAGAATGAACTGGTTTGAATGACAGAAAACTGACTATTGCGAAACAAAACACATGTATAATATAACCATGCTACTAAAAAAAAGTTTGGTATCTACCAAAGGTCAGGTGTGATGTTGATACTGGTTTTACCGGCCCTAGTCTTTATAGAAATAATAGTGAATTTATTTGTAATTGTAATTGAAGTTTTGGAGCTTGTAATGCCATGGCATCAGATACTAACTTTTTTTTAAATATGAAATGCTACAGAGAGATGAAAGGTGTTCTCAGTTCACCTTAAAATGTTCAGCACAGTGCCCTCCCCTCTGTCCCACAGGCATCCGAGCATGGAGACACCACTGGATGTTCTGTCAAGAGCAGCATCGTTTGTTCATGCCAATGAGGAAGAGAGTAAGTTTGATCAGTTCCTTTTGTGTCTTGTGTGTCAGTTTTTTGTTCTTTCTGGGCTCTTGCTCCTTTCAAATGGTGTAGTGTGGACAAATGATTTGTGTACAACATCAGTGCAACATCATGTTCCGCCATAAGCCTGTTTTTTGCCAGAAGACAATAGGCGTCTTTGTGCTGTGCAAACTTGCAGTTGCAGATACATAGGCAAATAAGACCAACCGCACTCAACTGCCATCAGCACTGCTTTTTAACCTGCTGCTGGCTTGTGTTAACCTGCTTTCACTGGAATCAGGGTGGGGTGTTTCTCTGGCTCATCTGTTTATCCCTCCATTTCAGCGTCTTTCTGTCTCTAACTTTCCGTCTATTACAGTCTTGTTGATCTCTGTCCATCTTTTCTTTCCATCTTCTCTCAGTCTCCCTGTCTCCTGTCTTCTTCTGTCTTTTCCTTTCTCCTCTCCTAATCATGTCTGAGGACTTCTGGCGTTGCTGAAAAAAATTCCTTCCGAGATTAGGGAGAAATGGCCAATCCTCCTCAGCAGGCCTCTCCACAGCTAGCAGGCCCCTGCATTCGGTGGATACCGCTGATAATTGATCTGAAGTTTAGTAGTAGAATTTGTTTCTGTTGTGAAGGAACTTGTAGCTCGTCAAGCATCAGGGGGCTGTATGAATTGAGTGTGTAAAAGGCGCTGAATGCCATCAAAGGTCCAGTGTCTAACATTTAGGCAGATAGGGAATATAACGTTCATAGGTATGTTTTCATTTGTGTACAATCACCTGAAAATAAGAATCCTTGTTTCTTTGTTACCTTCGAATGAGCTGTTTTTATCCGCAGACGCCGCAGGTCCACGTTGAACCGCCATGTTTCTACAGTAGCCCAGAACAGACACACCAAATACTGGTTCTAGATTGGGTCTTTTGTGTTTTTTGCGAGTTTCCCATCATTTCTCCTGCACACTTGGAACAGGAGGGTGAGGCAAGCGGTGTTAAGTTATTTGAAATGTGCAACTACACTGCTAGATGCCACTGCACACTGGTCCTTTAAGGGACATATTATAATTTGGTTTTCACATTGAGAAAACAAGTTATTTAAGTTCCTTATTTACATTTTTTTTTTAGATATGC